ATTCATTTTTCTACAAAAAAACTTAAAAATGAACAGAAGAAAAGTTTCAACTCAAGAACAAGCTGGATCAAACAAAAGAACTAAATCTTCAAGCTCTAGAGAGAAGCATGTCGACGGGTCATCTGTGGAAGGTATATAAAAGTACTAATTTAGTATTTTTTAAAGACATGCATATAATTTTTTTTTTTAAAAATTTTTTTTTTATTTATACAAAGTTTCGACAACAACGTTGGAAAAGATATTAAATCAAAATGCGAGGCTTAACGCTAAACTTGATATATTAATATCAGGTCAAAAAAAACTAGAGGAAAGAATTATAAAGTTGGAAGAGGATTGTACAAAGCATATAGGCATTGATAAAACTTTTGAAAAAGTAAGTATTGTTTTATATTATTCCGGTTTATATTTTTTCACGAAAAAGTACTGATATACATTATATACTATTTTAAATTATTTTATTAGAATCTGATTAAAAATATCGCAAAAGAGACGCTAACTAGATCAATATACCCAACACAAGAAGAATTACGAGAGATTACGGAAGAATATGTATCGGCAAATCACTCCGAATTTTTTGGTAAATTTACCCGAAAGCGTTGGACGTCTTTTTATGAAAAAAATATTTATCATGCTGTAAGGTTGCTCACTTAAATATAAATGTGATAAGATTTATATATAATTTTAATGTTTTCAATACTTATTAACAGCTATTAAAACAACATCGGAGCCTCCGTGGTACTTTAACATCAAGAATTAGGGATGCAATATTTGCGGTATTCGGCGAGGCCCAGCTACCACCAATAAATACCAATGCAAGTCTGGCAGAGATCCAAAGTTGGAAAAAATCCAACAAATTAAAGGAATGCCAGGTTAAATTATTTGCTCCAATAAAGGAGGGTGAACGAACTACCCACCTAACTCGTATTTTAGATAAAGTTTGGGGACCTAAGGAGCGAACATCACTTCAAAGAGCCTACACCACTGCCATATGTAAAATCCTACTAAATCCTAAAATAGAAAATATACAGATTTCTGAAAACATTGTTAAATTGCATATGAATAAAATTTTGGTAAGTTTTCTAAACTCGCAAATATGCTAAATAATTTAATTAAAAGA